TCCAGCCTGTCATACTAACATATAGAAGTAATAGCAACGTCTAATTGTCCTTCTTCTCCCTCTTCTCCTTCTCCCCCTTCTCCTTCTCCCCCTCGTCCTTCTCCNAGTTTTACTATTCAAACTTAGAAATTTACATATAAATATTTATCTTCTCTTAAATTTTCTCTCCTCTTTCTTTCTCTTCTTTTTTCCTTCATTCTTCGCTCATTTTCTTAGAGTAAATATTATAAGCTCTAGTACAGTTCCTATCACAAACTTTTAATTATTGTAAATACTTTATTTTTTATTTACGTATTCAGCTTCTTTGGCTCTCTTTACTAATTTGTCAAAGAATATACTTTAATAATTTCCCACTTCTCCTTTTCTTCGACGGAAAAGTAAACCCGTATCCTACATACTATTAAAAAAACTCCGCCGGCTGTTACTATTAAGACTGAGAGCGATACTCTTAAAAAAGGAAATCAAAAGTTCTACTTACCTGTAAATTTCTCTATTTCCTTTTTCTTGGTATTAGGACTATACTAACCTTGCATTTTTATTTAAAAATATAAAGATTCAACTGCTGATTACGTTTTGTATTTGAATAGCTACTATGAGTATATTATTAAATTGAAAACACTAATTTATCTAATGTACTATCATAATAGTAATAAACATAATTAAACTACTACTTTTACTTGCGTATTTACTACTATTTAACAGGCGGCGCTAGTAATTAATTGAAATAAAATAACTTTTGATTATATATATTATACTATTAGCATTTAATATAAAACTATTGGAAGATATAAAAGTAGTATTATTAATATATACAGTTAATAGTGATCTTTTAATTAAATATGTTACTAATTCTTTAAAATACTTAGTATTAAAAGCTATTTGCTATTAGTAACCCAGTTTCTAACCTCGCTTCTACATCAGCTCCTAAACCTATTTACCCAGTTGCCTTTATCTTTTCCCGCCCGTTCATTACTATTATTATAGCTAATATATATATATATATATTATATGTATTGTCTTATCACGCTAAACTATTTACATAGTCTACTCAGTGGGTATGCGGTACTGCTTCCGTTCTTAGTCGGTGGGAAACCCGTACCGTAGCCGGATGAAAACCCTCCGCTTCTCTATTGCAACGACGCCGTGTCGACGCCGTGCCTTCGATGTTTATCTTTCTCTCGGTATGACCTCACCGCCATTCCCGAGGCCCGATCTTTGATTCCGCTGCGTGGTCCCCCTACTGTACTCCCGCTCTCCAGAATCAAAGATCAATCTGAACCGCCCAGTAGCTCTTCTGCTTCCTTCGCTTGTTCGATCTTCACTGCCAGCTTGTACTCCTGCAGTCGTCCCAGTCATAAAGCCCAGCGAAGGATTCGTTCCGCCCCCGCCACTGTCCCGAGTTCGTCGTGGAGTTGCTCAATGTTTGTCGGCCACGTTGGGTCTCCCCATAACCATGTGTCTTCCGTTTCTCTACATTCCAAGACAACATGTTCGAACGTCTCCTTCGCTAACCCGCACCGGCAGTACGGTGTTGTCACCTCCGGCACTCTTCTCTCGAAGAGGAACGCCCGTAAGCTAATTTTGCCCGTTCTGATTTGCACCAGGAGTAAGCTCATAGCCTTTGAGAGGTAGTGTGGAGATGACTTCTCATCCGTACTGGGCCATGTGTGGTACTGCAGCGTGGTTCCATCGAACCGCGCACGCGCCTCTACGGCACTCAGCTTCTTCCTTTTGCTCATCGCCTCGGCCACCCTAACGTGCCACCTCGCTATCCACTCTCTCCGAGTTGCCTCTTCCAACCACCGTTTCTTTCACCTGACGTGGGCTCTCTCACCTTTCCCTACGGTATCGGAATGTCTTCTCTTACAAAAGATATAAAAACTACTAAACTGAAATAAAAGCGCTAACCTTGTCAATTTTAACAGCGGCTAATATATTCAATACGTCCCGATTTCTAATTTTAACCTTTAAAATTTTAGTTTACAATACAAGGGTAATATTCTTGAATATATTTTTAAATTATTTACTATACTTAAAAATACTCCCAATTAGTTAAAAATATACTTAAACTAGTAATAACTAAATAAATACGCCGTAGTATCTCAATTAAAATCATAATTGTACTAATATTAATTACAACCGAACTTCCAAATACTACTAAGTGTCACGGCGCTGGCGGACCACTACATCATTAGGCTATGTTCCAAAAGGATACAAGTAACCAAAGCTGGCAATTCGGTTGCTCAAGTGGTGTCACAGGTTGACATTGGCTATATAGTGTGCATTCCGAGTTCTGCCTTGCAAGCAGAACATCGTCCTATCTTTTGTAGGTTTGGCCGTCTGGGCATGTGCACCCCAGCCTGTCATAAGTGGTCTTATATAGCTGTGATAGCAGTCGAGAGGCACAACTGCAAGGGTGTCATCATATTAAACTTTTTATATTTTACAACCTTTACTTTCTATTCATAGCCCTTCCTACTAAAGCTGAATGTATTGGAAATATCTTTTAAAATATAATTAATATATTCATCTTTATCTTCATGATATACAAGATTGTAGCTAATGAATTGACTATTGATATAATTATTACTATAATTAATAATAATATAAAAGTTCTCAGTTTTAATAGTGTAATTAATGTTATAAAAGAGAATTATATAATCCTACCACTCTTATTTATAAAAGCGCCGCAACTATAAAAGACACTTCTTCTCCTCTTTGTTGTCGCTAGAAATTTAAATTATAATAAAAAGTACAATGGGCATAATAGTAGAAAAAGCATTGCAGTCGCTAATAAGCTCAATTACACTAATTGCAAGCTTGAAAATATTTATAAAGTAAATAAAGCGAGGCATATTAAACGTAAATACTAGAATAACAATAGTAATATTAATAGCAATGTCATAGGGCTACCGCCTGAGCACTGTAGCTCTGGTCCACGACCAGAACTAGCATGTAGCGTTGTAGCTGTGTCGGTGCCGCCACATCAAAACCTCGCTCCTGCAATAAAGCCGCTTCTTAGATAGACTTTTTCTTCTTCATAGAACCTTAATTAAGCTATAATTGTGACAGGCTGGGGTGCATATGCCCGGACGGCCAAACCTACAAAAGATAGGACGATGTTCTGCTTGCAAGGCAGAACTCGGAATGCACACTATATAGCCAATGTCAACCTGTGACAATAATACCAGCACTTGTGTTAACGATGCTATCCCTGTTACAAGCAACAATATAGTATAAAATACATATTCAATCTCACAATATATTAATGGTGCATGACCATACTGCTTACCATTAAATTTTGGTACGGCTGACATTTAGCTAACAAACTATGCAGGTGGAGAGGCTCCTTTAAGTTCGATACGGTCACTCTATCAAGGCATACGGTCGCTTATCCGCCCCGATTATATGTGTACCACCATGTGCCGTGCTGCAGAAAGCAGGAATTTGCTGCAGCGGCTGAAAAAACAAAACTGGAGCCACTAAGGGCGCTAAAACTCTTTGAGAAACGCGACGTGCAGGCAGCATGCTATGCATGGTTTTAGCGTGGGTAAAGGGGAAAATATTGGGCAACCCGGCTCGCCCGGGAGGTGAGTCCAGGAAAACGTTTTTGGTTTTCAAGTTCTGTGATATGACGTTCTTGCATGTGCCGGCTTCCAAAAGCCACGTCACACGTCCAAACTGAAGGAACTGCATTCGCCAAGCCGGTGATTGAAAGATTCCATCACACTTGTGGGTTGGGGCTTTTGGAATGCACAACTTGACCCCGTTGCTCTCAGTGGAGTACAGTGACTCCCAAACACCCAAATTCCCTAACAAACTGGGGGGAAATCCGAGAATCCCGGTAGCCGGTTGCCCAGAATTGCAATCGAAGTCGGGCTGCAAGGATTAAAAGGCCTGGTGTCATCGTGCGTTGAGTGTGCTTTGTTTCTGTGAGGCTTCCACAGAAAGAAAAAAGGATTGTCGGTAGATCCTCTAGTTCTAGCCGTTAGGCTTCAACGCCGCAGACACTGGCGACCAACAGCAAGCGGATCAGCTGGCCCCCATCCCCAACGAGCCGATAGGACAGACTACCAAGACATTTCGGGGTGCCGAAAAAGGACGCCTTCTCAGCTCTTGACGCCCATCTTCCATGTTTCATCCAAAACCCCCTGCGTGAGCGACCGTCGAGTGTTTTGGCTACTGTAACTGGTGAAGCTTCTTCCTGGAAAAAAAAAAGTGCTTGGTCAATACAGTACAGGATGTTCTTAGGAGTCGATCACAACCCGTTAGCCGGTCTCTATGCGGAGCGAACTCCCGTCCATTATCCGTACCCTTCTGGTGATCCACTTAGTCCAATAACGGCGCTTGACCTTTCCCAGCTTTCAAATACTACTATGCTAGATGACATGCTTGTTGGAAGATGCAGGTGTCTAGAAATCCTACTGCAGTCGAACCCTGAAAAGCTTTGATACATAGTTCGGAACCATATCCCATCTGTCCGCAATTTTTCTACCAAGGATGTGATCCAGGAAGCATTTGAGCCTCGATGACACATTCGAAGTGGGAATGATATTACGTCAGGAATAGTGTCGTCAAGTGCATTATTGGTCTACCAGGTATGCGATGCGAGGACAGTGAAAGTATGTTCAAAATGGTCGGTATCCATTCAGTCTCCTCCCTCACACAGTCCTTCTCAACTACAGTAGAAACCCCTGTTAATACA